CCCTGTCCCTCCATTCATTCACATAGACATTATTGAGCCGACTGCATCATTTTATTATCTAAAATACCTTCAATATTAATATCACTTTGTAAGCCAAAAGAATTTTGCTGATGTACATGTAATATTGTCTATAAAATAATGGTTACAGCACCAAAAGTAATGAATTCAGTGAAGTTTCAATACAACAGTGAGATACGATTAACTGTAATAAATGTGGTATTTCATTGGCCTTGCCAACTTTAGGACATCCTCAGATGTGAGGATGTGAATAAAAACCGAAATAACTCAAGATGCTGAAAATCAGAAACAAAAACAGAAGTTGCTGGAAAAGCTCATCAGGTCTGACAGCTTCTGCAGAGAGATATCAGAGTTAACATTTTGGGTTGAGTGACCCTTCCTCAGAACTCAAGTGAATAATCTCTTTGATATAAAAGTAACAAATTTATCTCACTGCATCCCCAAGTTATTTAGTATTTATGAGTTTATTTGTTTCATTTCAATTGCCCTCTAGTGTAGCATTTCCATTTATGGAAATGACTAGGAGCTAAATGCCCTGCTTTAGGATGGATACATCATGCGTTCGATTCCCACACCAGCTGAGACTGCCATGAAGGACTCTCCTTCTCAACCTCTGCTCTCACCTGAGGTGTGGTGACCCTCAGATTAAGCCACCACCAGCCATCTCTCTCATGAGAGAACAGTCCACTGGGAGTATGGGAACCTTACCTTTAACCTTTCTTTACATCTGCAAAGATGCTCAAGTCAAAATTACTGGCAACTAAACCGGAAATAATGGCCTGGTGATATCTGGGAAACATTCTAAACCACAATGATTGTCCATTCTTAAATTAAACAGGACAGAAACAAACATTTAAATTTTGCAATGTTATACTTATTAAATCTGTTTTTTGCTCTGTGCCTGTTCATGTAATAGATGTGGATTAATTGAAGATGTTTCAGAAGAAAGCAGTAGCAATGATTTTGGGACTTTGAGCACAAAGAGACTTCCCAAATTGAACTTGTTTTGATTCACGATAAAGGATTATTGAGAAAATGCAGAAGTAAATGTAAACTATTTGATCAGTTGTTGAGCACAGAACTTGAAGAGCCGAGCAAGTCAGATTAGAGCCAGAAGTATATGGGCCACAGAATAATGGTTATGCAGAAGGGTGGCTCAGTGGCTCATTGGTTAGCACTGCTGCCTCACAGCGCCAGGGACCCAGGTTCGGTTCCACCCTTGGGTGACTGTCTGTGTGGAGCTTACACATTCTCCCTGTGTCTGTGTTGGTTTCCTCTGGGTACTCTGGTTTCCTCCCACAGTCCAAAGATGTGCAGGTTAGGTGGATTGGCCATACTAAATTGCCTGTAGTGTTCAGGGATATGTAGCTTAGGTGGGTTATAGGGGGATGGGTCTGGGGGGATGCTCCAAGGGTCGGTGTGGACTTGTTGGGCCGAAGGGCCTGTTTCCACCCTGTAGGGATTCTATAATTCAGAACAGGATCCAAAAGACAGCTAGCTGTTGGTGTATTTCAGGGTGAATGCAGATCACTGTCTGAAAAAGAATGGATTTGGACATTCTAATGATCTGTATAATGCAGGCAATGTACAACTGAAGTTGGCATTATTTAGATTGGTTTCAGGATGTTGGGTATGGTTGGTGGTGGTTTCAGTTCTGTTGAGTGGGATGTGACGGTATGAGGATGTATACACTGAAATTTTGTTTGACAACTTGTGTATCAGGAGCAGTTATACCTCATTATCCCTTGATCAGTACATGGATGCAATGGAGTGAGTCAGTGAGTGGAATCTTGTAGCCTTACTGTTTAAAGGGGCAGTAGGACCACAGATTTCTGAGATCAACCCATCTGCATCATCTTCCTGGAGCAAGCCAATTAACAGGTTTCCTCTTGGAGTCCATCCAATAAAGGATGTGAGTTGGTAAGGAAGTGAAAAAGTGAATGGGGACACTCGAGGCTTTGGGCTGTTCGGAGGGATGGGCATTGCCGCTGTAGGTGGTGAAACCATGAGAGTGTTTCAAGATGTTTGTACTTTCTGAAGACTGCAAAAGAAAAGCTTAAAATAAACATTTTAATTTTCCCCCAAGTAGGCACCGATTTGCTGCTAATTAGCTACCGACTGCTACTGGGCAGATAGCTGATGATGTTGTTCTTGGAGGCAGGAGCGACCAGCAAACCAGCCTGGGTGATTTTTTCTGAATTTTCAGCTAGCAAAGGTGCCTTGTTACAGCTGACAAGCTTCTACCTAACTGCTTTCATTGCACTTCATTGGCTATTTAGAACAAAAACTTTAGGGTGTCCTGAGTTTATGAAAGGTGATGTGAAAATGAAAGCTTTAATCTTGTTTGAACATACATATCTCTAGAAGGGGCACGCTTGAAGGTCTAAATTGTCTTTTGGTCACCCGTGCTCTAATGTAATAAAATTTCATTTGAAAAGCAAATACAAACCAACCACTGCAGCCTTATTCCTGGTTTTGGTAGATATTCAACAAGAGGTAACCAAAGATGTTTAGAAAAGTTACCAATGTAATTTTTTTTAGCTGACTGTCATGTGTACATATTTTTAAAGTCTCACATCTGCAGTAAATTTCATCTTTCAGGAAAAGTTTGGCCTTTTAGGTGAGACTATTTGTTTATGTGCCCAATGTTCTCAAAGGGCAATGCACAGGAATTTGCTGGATTTGTCATTGCAGATTCATTGTTAGTATCACTGTAGCTGGCTGAATACTTCAATTTCTAATCATCACCTGGATCAAACTATTGCCCCAGAGCCATCCGGCAAGTTATTTGTTGTTTTATAATAGTCAGTGTATGAGGCAAAATGCAAAAAAATCGTAACTGATTTATTCTTTTTAAAGTCTGTCCAATATTTTGTCTATTTGACTAAATACAGTGCCAATGGTACTCTGCTGCTATGTTGAAGCTTTCAATAAAAAATTCTCATCCTTGTCCTTTAAGAAAAAATATTAACTCTTTGCCAGGTTCTAGTTCAGTCTAAGAGGTAGTAGTGATCAAAGCTGCTTTGAAACAGCAAATTTGCAGTCACCATTTATTTAATACGTCGTGAATTATAGATGTGGTTCAGTTGCACTATGCAGGAGAAGGTTCCATCGCATAATTTTGCTGCAACTTCCTGGCAAGTCATCCCAATAATAACAGCCTACATGGTGAATGCACTAGGATAGAGCTACAAATTCTCAGGTAGGTCTGGGCTATTCTGTAAGCAATCGGTCAGCTGCCTGGAGGATGGACTATGTTGAAAACATACTCACCGTCTGTGAAATGGTTTTACATTCCAACAGCTCAGCTGTGCCCTAAATGTAAAATCCCAGATGGCTGTGTCATTGACAGCAATATTTTTCCTTTAAAATAGTTGATTTCTCCACTTCAAGGTAGCAGGTTCATCTGTGTCAATATCCAAATCAGCCAAGCCAAGGCAGTGTGATGTTTATCTCTATGAAAACAACAGTGATCTTATACACTTACAGTTCTGATGTTTGTACTGTGTGCACTGTAATACTATGGAGTCATTATTAGACACAAGTTCATCAGGTAATTGTGTTTTTTGGTTTTTTTTGAAGACATTATGGGCAATAAGAATGGACATAGAGTCATAGAATCATACAGCCTGGAATCAGACCCTGTCCAAATATGTTTAAATGCTATCTCTCAGAATCCCCTCCAACAAATTACCATTAATTGAAGTCAAACTCACCATTTTCCAGCTTTGCTTTATTTATTACAAAATAAGCTGTGGAAAGTAGGAGGTTTGTTAAAGGATACAGCAGAATACAGATCAGTTGGAAAGTTAGGGGTGGAGAAAAGGTAGATGGAGTTTAATCTGGACCTGTGTGATGATGCATTTCAGGATGTTAAATGCAAGTGGTAAGTATACAGTAAATGACAGGACCCTGAGGAGCACTGATACACAGAGAGATCATAGGGTGCAAGTCCATAGCTCCCTGAAAGTGGCAACACAAGTGGATAAGGTGGTAAAGAAGGCATATGGAATGCTTGCCTTCATCGGTCAGGGCATTGAGTATAAAAGTTGACAAGTCATGTTGCAGCTGTATAAGACTTTAATTGGGCTACATTTGGACTGTTGTATGCAGTTCTGACTGCCACATTATAGCAAGGATATGAAGGCTGTGGAGAGGGTGCAAGAGAGGTTTACCGGGATGTTACCTGGATTGGAGTCTATTAGACACAAGGAGACATTGGAAAAACCTGGATTGTTTTCTGTAGGGTTTTAGAGGCTCGGGGATGACCTGATAGAAAGATATAACATTATGAGAGGCATGGATAGGGTGAATAGTCAGCGTCTTTTTTTCCCAGGATGACATAGGTTTAAAGTGAAAGGGGAAAAGCTTTTATACAGAGGGTAGGAGGTTCTTGGAACACGTTGTCAGGGGAGATGGTAGAAGCAGTTACGAGAGCAACTTTTAAGAGGCGTTTAGACAGATATATGAACAGACAGTGGAACTCAGAGCTGCAAAGGATTGTGGAGGCCAAATCATTGAATGTAATTAAGACAATCAGGAAGTGGGTTCTGGATTGGTATGGAGATCAATGGTTATGGGGAGAAGGCTGGAGAATGAGGCTGAGAAACATATCAGCCATGATCAAATGGTGGAGGAGACTCGATGGGCTGAATGGCTTAATTTTGCTCCTATATCTTATGGTCTTATGATCTTACGGAATCGAGAGATACGGACCATGTACAGCTAGATGGGATTAGTTTAGCATGGCATCATGTGTCGGCACAGACATGGTGGGCCGAAGGGCCTGTTCCTGTACTGTACTGTTCACCGTTCTATGTAAGGAGCAAACCTGTTCTACTATTGAAATTGACAGCCTTAATGTTTCCAGAATATATTCTGGAAAAGTCAGTACTATTCCAAAAATGATTTGAGTTGAAGACAGTTCCATAGAACAATTTGCACTGACCACCTGAATTCCTTCCATGTTATCTCTCATGCAGAAAGAATGTGCAAATTTCATCAGGGTTCTGCAGCATTATAATCAAAGCCACCTGTATGCCTGTGGAACTGGAGCCTTTCACCCAGTGTGCGCCTACATTGAAGTTGTTCATCAACCTGAGGTAAAAAAAAGTCCCTCTTACACATGTTTTCTATTTGTATAATGCACTTTCTGTGATTGACTGTTCGTATTATAGTTCGAATAAAAGAAGCCTATCTTTCTGCAAACTATACAACTTCTCATATCTGCTTATGATTTTAATAAGATTGGGTGTGGAGCACACATCAAAGATATTATTTCACTTCTGTTGTCATCATGTCTTAACAGGGCCTATTGTTGTCACATGCTTCATTTTCATTTTGTATTTAGTCAACTGTTGACTTCAACAAAGTATTATTTGATAACCACATGCAGTGAAGTCCAGACATGAAGACAGTGAACAAAATGAGAGATCAGTTTGTGTATAAAGGAAAAGCAAAGACTAGTCAATGGGATCAGCTGTTTGGTATTGCAATCCGATTTGTTCTCTCTGCTGTTGAGCCACACAGTAATGTTATATTTTGCAGGGATGTGTGGACCTTATCAGGTGACTCATCTCCCGTAATCCATTTGCCCGTCATTTTACTTCACTCTTCTACTGGAGGCACTACAGCCCCTGTCGCCTTCAGTCCCTTCAGTAAGGGATCATCTACAGCAATGAGGCTGAGCAATGGTTCAATTTTGGCTGTTAATATTGGTGTTTTGATTTCTCTGTGTCCATAAACCATTCTCCAACTACTGGGCAGGCTGACCCTTCCTCAGTTCTGAGGAAGGGTCACGGGACCCAAAACATTAACTCTGATTTTTCTCCTTCACAGATGCTGCCAGACCTGCTGAGCTTTTCCAGCAACTTCTGTTTTTAATTCTGATTTACAGCATCCACAGTTCTTCCAGTTTTTATTGGGCAGTCTTATAAAATCACTGGCAAATCATGAGATTACCCCAGTGGCTTGTCCATCAAATGATTCCTTTGCCTCCATGTGCTATCGTGCTATCCTCATTTACACTTCTTCCCCCTGCATTGTGGGATGAATTTTCAGTGATTATGATGGACACAGTAGTATTACCACCTATCACCAGGTGCAATATAAACACTGTGATCAGTCTGAAACTGTTGAAAATTAGTGAAGATTTGCAGCTTATGTATCCAACTTTCTTTTATGCAATAAAAACTGAAAGGCCTGCAGATGCCAGAAATTAGAAACAAAACAGAAATTGCTGGAAAGGCCCAGCAGGTCCAGAAACATCTGTGGAGAGAAATCAGAGTTAATGTGTTGGGTCCAGTATCCCAAGTTTTGGAGAAAGGGCACTGGACCCAAGATGTTAACTTTGATTTTTCTCCACAGACGCTGCCAGACCTGCTGAGATTTTCCAGCAATTTCTGTTTTTATTTCCCTTCGCAAGTTTCATTGCAAGAGCTTTATAATGAACTGATGCTAAAACCAATAAACAGGAAGATAATAAGGGCAAGGGAAGCAGTGATGTGAACAAATGTTTCCACTTTTCTGTTGTAAAGGAAAATGACATAAATAATTTCCCAAAATAGCACTCCGTACTGATAAACCACACACCACCAATAGCGTTGGTGCATAAAGTGAACTCTAGTCAATCATCAGAAGACACATCTGGAGACAGTATTTTCATAGGTATTATTATTCCTGGTGCTTTGATTAGAAAATGTTTGTCTAATGAAGTTTTATTGTGGTATGTTTATTATTTTTTAAATCAATTTTGCTTTGAACTCTTTGGCTTGGAATTTTCACTTCACACCCTTCAGCCCAACACTTTCTGTTATTCATTTAATGGGCAGACTTCCTAGCTGCCAACTACAAAAGCAGAAAAATACCAGAGCTTCAGTTTAATAACAATGTCACCATAGAGTCTGCCAAAGTCACAGGGTACTTTTTCTTTCTCTGTTGTCCAGCTATTGAAAGGACATTCACATTCCCAGTACAGCACATATGGCTACAATATATATTGGCACATTTAGAACACAATTCCTATTTTTAACATTGCTGGGCTTATGTGTTTCACTGAAATTATTTCAGATTAATGACTATAGGAAATAGTTATGCATGCCATGTTTCATTTAGTTTGAAAAATTAACGCAGCAACGTTCAAGATTATGGCTGTTGGAGAAAGATCTGTTTCAACACCTGTAAATGCATGATTTAAAAATTGAAAGGGCAGGAGGATGCATTTTGATTGTCTGCCAAATTAGTCCTATTATAGAAACAGTCGAGTGATTTACAAGTGATTAAAATTGCAGAGGGAGCAACTTTCCATCAAGCGTATTCAAAGGTTATACTCAATGTCAGAAAGAATGTTCATCTGACACTTTCACCTGTTGCTTACCATGAGGATGTCTTCCTGCTTTTAGTTAATTACATATTTTGAAACTGCAAACCCATGTGAGTATCATTACCAATATCCTGGGCACTGATGAATCTGGAATGTTTTAGAAATTTTATGTTCAATCTTTGAGCTGCAAATGAAGTAGTGAGTGCAGAATATTTTTGTAAAAGAGCGTCTCTGAAGAATGGCCGAAGAAACGTTTGAGAAAAGCAGGGCCGGGCCTGAACAAAAGGAAGCAATTGATCTCCCAGGGGAACATTGCTGTATTCGTTTCAATATATAGTGTTCCTAACAAAATATTCCAAAGGAAAAATCTACAAATGAACTCTTCTATCTGGCAGGAGATATACAGACTGCTGCTTTCCAGCATCCTCCAAGGATACCCACTGTTTTGTACATTTTGCCTCTGCAGGAGCTATTCTGTTGACGTAGCAACAATACATATCACCGTACAACGCCACAGAGATCCTGTAATCAGCATCTGGACCAGGTCTGATGCCAACAGTAAGATTTGCCAATCAGCGTTGCTCAGTCTCTGCCCAGTGCTGCAAATTACAGACTAAAAATACAAATATCTCTCACAGGTTGGAATCATCAATTAGTTCTCTTCTGAAAATTTAATGAAGAGAATGATGTGTTTCAGGAGAACTCCTCTTTTTAATTTCCAATAATTGTGGAGGTAATGACATAGTACAAATGTCACCGATCCCAGATTCCAGAATGTTCTGGACACATGAGTTCGAAACCCATCGTGGCAGATAGTGAAATTTGAATTAAGTAAAATCTGGAATTAAAAATTGGCCTTTTTCAATTGTCATAAAAACCCATCTGGTTCACGAATGCCCTTTTAGGGAAAGAAACTGCATCCTTACTGGTCTGGACTACATGTGACTCCAAACCCACAACAACAACTCCAGACCCACTTCACTGCTGTCTGAAATGACTGAGCACACCACTTAGTTCAAGGTCAATTAGAAATGGGCGACAAATGCTGGCATTACCAGTGCTGCCCACATCCCAGACAAGAACAGAATGGAAAATCTTCTTCCATTCCAAAAATATCCATTTCAAACACTACCCTCTGTTTCCTGTCACTCAGTCAATTTTGTATCCTGCCCCTTTTAATCCATCAGCTATAACTTTGCATTTTATCTTTTAAATTTTCTAACATTTCCACCATCTTAACTTCTCTCCCATCTCTTTGTGATCCCTAGCATAGGGGAAGCGATGACCTAATGGTATTATCGCTAGACTGTTAATCCAGAGACCCAGACAATGTTCTGGGGACCTGGGTTCAAATCCCACTGTGGTAGATGGTGGAATTTGAATTCAATAAACTATCTGGAATTAAGAATCTAATGATGACCATGAATCCATTGCCAATTGTTGGAGGAAAAATCCATCTGGTTCACTAATGTCCTTTAGGGAAGGAAACTGCCATCCTTACCTGGTCTGGCCTATATGTGACTCCAGACCCACAGCAATGTGGTTGACTCTGGGCAATAAATGCTGCCTAGCCAGTGACACCCTCATCTTGTGAATGAATTTTAAAAAAAATTTGAAACCTTATTTTGAAATTTTGTCCACATTCAAAGATCCTTCCAGTTACATTGGGTTGGCTGGGTCAGGATTGGAGTTGGAGGTAGGTGAAGCTGAAATTCTGCACCAATGGCTGTCATGCTGATGTGGTGCCAAGTTAATAGTCACAGGTCGACATTTGAAGGCAATTAGAGCCAATTACAGGACTGACTAAGTTCCCATACTAACTGGGATTTCCAAATGAGAACCCAGGTAAGAGCTGTCAGCCTGAACTCCATGGCTGGCTCATGTAGAGCAGGGCTATGGGACCCCACCCACATCAGAAACAAAACAGAAATTGCTGGAAAAGCTCAGTGGGTCTGACAGCATCTGTGGGTAGAAATCAGAGTTAACATTTCGGGTCCAGTGACCCTTCTTCAGAACGCTGTCACCAGTCCTGGTTATTCAGCCTCAGCAGGGTATCCCATTGATCATAACCAGGTAGCTGGGGGTGCTCAAAATGTTTGAAAAAGGGAATGATCTTTAATGTAGGGAGCCTCACATGTTGAGGCACTCTCTCCTCCTCCATCATGAAACTCCCTCCTCAGTTGGTCAGGGTACTGTTGTGTCAACGCTGGGAGGGGGTCGGGTGGGGGCGTCACGAAGCAGCCCTCAGCCTTAGGAGCTTTCCCCCTCAACTGGATCGTCAGCTGCTCCCTGCTATTGCTTGGTTGGGTCCTTCAAAAATAAAGATGAAAGTGCCGAAGATTTGTATGTGGGTTTAGGAGCTGAAAATATCCCTGAAGCAGAATGGTACATCTTCACCATGACTTGTGGCATTAAAGGAGAAAACAGATCATGTTGTGCAAAAGCTTGCAGTTTCCATAAAACAATGTACAGTCACTTAACGGTAGAACCACACTCCCACACAAAAGATTCTTAAAGTACAACGTATTCTGCTGAGATTAATTGGTCTAGTCATTTGGTTCCTTTCTACATTTTATTGAGAACAGAAATAAATTGCCATTGTCTGCTGTGCACAATTCTAATAAAGAGAAATGAAGAGGTAGTAATTTTAAAAATTGAGACAAAATGAGTTTGGGGAGTCAGTGTAAATAAATCATAGAGGGCAGGATATGGTGAGCTGAGGATTGATTTCAAACAATCAGATAGAGTAGGGAGGAAACTTTACACATGGAACAGAGAGAG